TCTCATAACCAAGTTAAAGTGAAGACATTGGCCACATAATACACATGCTCCATTTTTTAAAAAAATTCTGAATCTTGGGCAACTGTTTCTTGTAACTACTTTACAGTTTCTAAAAGCAGTTATTGTCCAAAGCTGGAAGAACTTAAGTCTTCTCAGATGAGCATGTGAATGAATGGAGGGAGGTAAACAAAAAAATAAAATTTAAAAAAGATGAGGTCTGATAAGGGAGCAGCAGGACAAGAAAATCAAAAAAGGAACAGTAATTTAAAGCTTATTCCAGCTCTAATGCAGGTGATTCTGATTTTAAGGTAGTATCACAGGGCGTACTTCTGAGTCCATTCTCGAGATATTCCGTTGTACTTGTCTCTGTCTGTTTTGTAGATCCGTGCAATCTCCGGCACTAGGGGGTCATCTGGGTTTGGATCACACAGCAGTGAACAAATGGATAAAAGAACTTTAGAAATAGTTAAAGCAGGAGACCACTGTGCTCTTAGAATATCGAGACAAATGCTGCCATATCTGTTAATATTTGGATGATAAATTCTTGTTGTAAATGCAGCCTTAGGTGGTTTGAAGGGGTAGTCTGTAGGAAAATGAATTTTCAAAAAGAATACACAGCCTTGGTATGGGCTGTCATTAGGTCCCGTAATTGTGGCTCGCCAATGGAACATATCATCCCCAACTGGGCCTGCAGAACCTTGTGCTGGAGGGTCCCGGGCCAAATCACTAAGTTCCTTATTAATCCGCTTCAACGCCATGGTCGGTGCTGTCCCGGCCCTCGGTGTCCGCGTGTGCTCAGCCCCGCCGCGTCTGGCTGGTCCTCAGCTCTCAGCGGCTCAGACAGCGGCTCAGACACTGTCCTCTTCACCGCGCGAATCCGTCCGCCCACGCCGTGGCGCCGCGAGCGAGCGCAGCTGGGCAGCCCAGTCCCCGGCCGACTCGGCCCGCGCACCGCCGCCTCCCACTCGGAGCGGCACCTTAGACTAAGCCGACCAGAGGTCGCGCCCCTCTCTGCTTCTTGACCACTGTGAAATAGGCAACTTGCCTTACCACCTGCTCCCTCATAGCGTACTGCGTCACCACAGGCCTACAAGCAAGAGATTCATCCAAGCATGGACTCTTCTTTGTGATTCTCTCAGATATTTTGTTACAGTTAACAAAAAGTTACCTAATGCACAATGATGAAATTCTCCACTCTAGCTAATGAGAAAAACCCTGCTTCCGGCCATCTGTGGGGGCCAAGTACTGTGCCTCCCAGTGCCTGCAGGAACCCAGGCTCCGCTCCACTCTGCATGCTGACTTTTGCCCACATACTTATTACTTCAGGGCACAAAACAGCTGCTACAACTCCAGGCTTCTGGGTGTGATTCCAGCAGGAAGAAAGAAGGTGAGAACATGGAGTAACAAGCTCCAGGCCAGGAAAGCAAAGATTTCTCAGAATTCTAGCCAGCACTGTAACATCTAATCACCAGTATCATGGTTGGTAATGAAGAATTAATACAGGGCAGACAACTAACAGTCTACAAGTTACTTGCACATTTTATTTTTTGGTGGTACCAGGGAGTGAACTCAGGACCTTGCACTTGCCAGGTAAGCACTTATTCCACTGAGCTATCTCCCTGGCCCCCATACTTGCACATTTTTGAATAAAACCCTTGAACTGTTCTTTCATATATATTGCCAGATTCTACTTGACAATATTCTGAAGATTTTTCTTAAATCTATTGTGGTATTCAGGCTTGAACTAAGGTAGCAGGGAGGCCCGGGGAGATAGCTCAGAAGAATAAGCACTTGCCTTGCAAGCTCAGGGTCCCCAGTACCGCAAAAAATAAAAAAAATAAAAATAAAAAAGATAAAGGTAGCAGGGATGGAAAGACTGAAACATATGGGTGTATTTTCAGGAATATCAAGGGTATAACTAACCACAAAGAAATGGCACAGGAAACAGAGAAACAAATAAAAAGGCACTACCATTCGGTAATTCTGAAAGGAGCAATGACCAGCGATGTTCAACATTAAACTGTTCTCAAACACTAAAGCTGAAGTATTAGTGAAATTTTGAGTTTCAGATTTTTTCATTTGGAATGTCATTAGATATTTAGGACCTCAATCAACACAGAAAAAAATCTTTCTCTAGACTCATAGACAAAAAAAACTATTTCTATGGTAAGTTAGGTTTGATGGTACACACCCTTGAAATCCCAGCTCAGGAGACTACAGCAGGAGGATTGCTGCGAATTCAAGCCCAACCTGAACTGCACAGTGAAACCCTGTCTTGAAAAGACAAAAAAAAAAAAAAAAAAAAAAAAAAGTTGTTTTAATAGTATTTTAATAGTTTTCAGAGATACATACTGAACTATTTATAAATAAAATTGTACATCTAATAGTTGCTCAAAAGTAACAGGAGTTATGCAGAAAGTGAATAGAAATAAAGATGAAAGGACTGAGTTGATATGGAACATGAGTACTAGGGAGACAGGATCCAGACATACGTATCTGTAGGTAACATACGTATCTATACATATCTATAGATACACGTATTTCCAGTGGTGGGGACACTGCCGGGAAAAGCCCTCTACCACTGAGCTACACCCCCAGCTTTTGTCTTAAATTATGAATAATTAGTATAGATCCTACTCCAAAGCATTTTGTTGCTCTTTTAAGAACTGCAAGGGGCCGGGGAGATGGCTCAGTAGAATAAGTGCTTCCCTGAGCAAGGACATCCCCGGTTCCAGAAAACAAAACAACAACAAAAAAAAAAAACTACAGGCTGGCCAGATAGCTCAGAGGATTAAAGCACCTGCTTAGGCAGACACAGGGATTGGGGTTCATCCCTGGTGTGCTGTGTCAGCCCCATCCCCGGGGTGCGCTGAGATGGCGACTGACACTGGGCATGGGTGGCACACTGTAATCCCAGCCCTCGGGAGGCTGAAAACAGGATCACTATGAGTCTGATCTGTATAGTGAGACCCTGTACTAAATACATTTAAAAAACTAAAAAACAAAAGGAATAGCTCCCACAGTATCTGCAGAGGGCAGTCCTGGTCCTGCTGTCCCTGTCCCTGGTCCTGCACAGCATGGATGGTATGGCAACTCCAAGGACGACTGCCACCTTCAGCCCCCCCACCCCAGGGAACCCATAGCCCAGCTCCAGATTTTGTCAAATGTCTAACAACATTCAAAGCAAAAGTGTTCGCCAGCAATTTTAGGCCCAAAATACCTCATAGGTTCAACAGCTCTCCACACTTATAATACATAGAAAAATAATATATCAGGACTTATACAAAGTAGATTTTTACAAAACCATTTCACTACAAGAAATACATCTTTTATTCTAGCACAAAACTGTGGAAATATACACAGAAGTATACATTTAAGAAAAAACATTTATTTCAAAATGCCGAGTGGAAAGGCAGAAACTATCTTCTGGTTTACTGATAAAATATTGAAGAGAACTTCAATTTGCGAGCAGAAATTTGCACTCTGTTCTGAAGCTTCTAAAAACAAGGATTAAACGGCTGTTCCTCTTTCCAAATTCTGCTTAATTTCAGCCGTATACTTCCCATAGAACCTTTCGGCTTTCTTGTTGAACTTGGCGTTTCTTTCATTGATGTAGTCAATGTCTGCATCGTCATTATAAGGACGTCTTCGGCTATATTTGTCTCGTTTTTCAATTCTGAGGGAAAGAAAATAACAGAGTTCAAAACTGCCTTTTTTTATCTTAACAAGTCACATCCTGATAGTTATGACTAAAATCAGTTTTCAAACAGCATATTTCGGGGGGGAGTAAGCTCAGTCCTCATCAACTTCAAGTTGAAACTACTCCTTAGCAGCACAACCTCAGCTAAGTACCAATAAATGAGGCAGGTGTGGTGACATACAGCTATAGCCTCAGCACTTGGGAGGCTGAGGCAGGAGGACTGCCACAAGTTCAAGGCCAGCCTAGGCAACATAGTGACTTTTTTTTGTTTTGTTTTGTTTTTGAGATCAGGGTCATGTAGCCTAGGCTGATCTCAAACTTACAATGATCTTCCTGCCTCAGCCTCCCCAGTTCTGGGATTACAGGCATGTGCCACCACACCCAGGTATAATTTTAAACCCAGCCTAAAAACCTGAACTATATACCAAGACCTTGTCTCAGAAAAAAAAAAAAGGAAATTAAATATAAACTCATTTTTAGAATGTTTCTCGGGCTGGTGAGATGGCTCAGTGGTCTAAAGCACCTACTTGGAACAAGCTTGGCAGAGCACAGGGACCGCGGTTCAATTCCCCAGCACCACATGCCAGCCTGCCCCACCCCCTGGTGGGCTGAGCTGGACACACACACACACATACACACACACAAATAAATAAAAATTAAAAAAAAAAATAGAATGTTTCTCAAAGAGCAATGACACATTGTTAGGAACTGAACAGAAGGAGCATTACTGAACAGATAGTAATTATAAGTAGCAATAATAACCACAGCCAATATAACACACAGTATATGCCAAACACATTTTATTCCACTTTTGTTTGTGGTACTGAAGACAGAACCCAGCGTACTGAGCTACATCATCCCTAGACCTTTTTAATATTTTTGCTTTGAGACATTCTTGCTAAGTTTCCCAGGTTGGCCTTGAATTTTCAATTCTCTGGTCCTATCCTCCTGAGTAGCTGGGATTACCAGCATACACAACTGTCCAGGAGGAGGAAGTTGGGGGTATGGGGAGTAAGTCCCAGGAAGTCCCTGGAACCCCAAATCTTGTTCTTTCCTTCCTCCATGATATGAAGAGGTCCCCCGGGCCATGTGCTCCCACCGTGAGCCCCTGTGCCACCACAGCAGCAGGCAAGAGACCATGCACGGACAGCTCTAAAACCCTGGACCCAAATGGACCTTTCCTCCTCATAAGTTGCTCCTCTCAGGGATTCTGTCAGAGTGATGCAAAACTGCTTACCCAGTAACAATTCAATGTCACTCTACTGTCCATTCCCTCTCCACGTCATACAGCCTCACCACACCCCTGCAGTCTGTCTCCAATCCACCATCCCTGGCAAGTCGGAAACTACCAGTATCTGTCTGTCCAGCTCATTCAAAGCACCCTAGACTAGAATGCACACAGGAATCTGTTCCGTTGTTACGCGTTTCATTTAGCATTGCGGGCTGCTTTACACAGTACTTACTGTTTTTCCAGATCTACGACCATTCTATCAATTTCCTCTGTGGAAGGCACATGTGTCCCATGAAGAAGACTGTTGGATGTTGGGAAAAACTCTTCTCCA